GTGTCATTACAAATCGTGCTATTTCTCAATTTTCTGGCTATATAATCTTCCATTGTAGAAGTGTGCTGAAATTTACATTACCACTCCCATATAGACATATAAGTAGTTCCAATCTTTAGAGTTACAGACAATGCCACAATGGACATGTTATCAATACACAATTTTCATGACTGTGTGTGTGTATGAGAGAGTGTGTGTATACCTTAAAACTGAGTATGTGGTGCCAAAATGGACATCTATTAACATTTAATATATATTAGACACAATTTGCAATAGATATTACACAATTTGGGCTTCCATGAAAGGACAGGTTTTCAGAAACATTGGGAACACAGTTTGATAGCATGGGAGGTAAAATATTGCATCTTATAGTTTTGTTTCATTTCTCTTATTTTGAGTCACTTGAATATCTTGCTTTTCTATAAGCTATCTGTTCAAAGCTTGCCCACTTTTATTGATTTGTGGCCCTTTATGATGTATAACTCATATAAATCAGCTCTTTCCTCTGACAGAAATCAAGGCTGTCTCTTCAGAACATTCTTGGCTTCTGAATTTCTTTAGGTTCTTTTTCACTATAATGAATTTATCTTTATTTTAATGTAGTTTTTGTCAGTGTTTATACATCTTTGGGGGTTATGGCATTTAAAAATAAATTTGATGTTCCAACATAATTTTATAATTATCTGACATTTACTGTTTCTGTGGAGCTTTTTGATGTTTCATCTGAAGTCAAGCTGGAACTTACTTTACACAAAATTTACAATAGATCTACTCATCTTCTTATTCTACACAGCTCTCCAGTTGTCTGACAACAGCTGTTATGTAGTTCATACTGAACTGTATGTTCCCACTGATTTTACTTTTTTATTTTATTTTTTAAAAATGTTTATTTATTTTGGGGTGGGGGAATGAACACACAGAGAGAGACAGACAGGGGGAGAGAGAATCCCAAGCAGACTATGCACTGTCAGCCTGCTGTCTGTGGGGTTCTATCTCACAAATTGTGAGATCATGGCCAGGGCCAAAATCAAGAGTTCGTTGTTTAACTGACTGAGCCACTCGGGTGCCCCCAAAAGTGTTATTTTAAATTACTGGGGGAGGTGCCTGGGTGGCTCAGTCAATTAAGTGACTGACTTGATTTTGACTTAGGTCGTGATCTCATGATTTGTGATATTGAGCCCCACGTGGGGCAGTGGGCTGACAGTGCACATTCTGCTTGGGATTCTCTCTCTCCCTGTCTGTATGCCCCTCCCCTGCTTGTGTGTGTGTGCATGCACGTGGTTTCTCTTGCTCTAAAAAAAAAATAAATATGCTTAAAAAAATAAGTACGTAAATAACACTGTTCACATGCACTTAATTCCTATATGTGGTGGGGTTTCTACTTTTAGACTACACGGTATGTTCTGTTCTTATGTTTTTATATTTATGCTCGGTGACACACTGTTCTAATTCTTGCAGATCTATACATTTCATTGTACCTCTTCTGAATTGTCTTGGCTTTTGATTTTTTTGATCATCTCCATTTAAATTTTACAATTAGCCTTTTTAAAATTTTAACTTGCAATGCATAAAATTTACAGGTAAACCAAGAAAGAATTGCTTTGCATATGGCGCTGGCCCGTCCTACTCGAGAACACGCTATGGATATCTGTTGGAGTAATTATTCAGATGCAACTTTCAGAAGCACTTCTTGATAAATATATTCCAATGTGTTTATTTCCAGGAGGCTACAAATTTGACCTTCTCTTTGTCTTCTAATCAGTTATTTCCACATCCATTTAAATTAACTGTCCAGCCACATTTACTCTATCTTTTGTCAACCATTGATGCCCTATAGTAGGGCATTTCTATTTTTTCTGTTTTCTACTTTTCTATTTTTCTGTTAAATTTTGCTGAAAAACAGAAAAGGTACATATGCGTGAAAATAAGCTATATCAAAAAGCTGTTATGAAAACTTGTGAAAATTACCTGAAATTATATACAAGAGAAAAACTTGACCATTAGTAAAATCAACTCTTGTAGCAGCTCACAAATTTGAGGCCACCACGAAGGCCGCGAAGTATCTTCTCTGTCATCGTTCTCCATTATCTTTGGAGTGCAGTCAGTTTCAGTATGTTGCTTGTTACCAGTCATGATTTTTATTTGGGCCTAAAATTGTGTGATACATTCATAAAAAAAAAAAACATTTAAAGATCCCAAACTTTCAGGAGTAAGGTTACATATTAATAATTTATAAAATTATCTGCATTTTCCTTTTTCAAGTATTCTCTCTTATTAGATCATTTACAGCAGGAATATCTCCTGGTTTGGGGCTGGGGAATAAGAAGCACAGTACCACCTTACTTATATTCATCCATCACTAAGGTTTTGCGAGGGTGCTAAACAGGTGTGAGGACAATTGTATGATATTCTATTAATGCTATTTAGGAGGGACTCTTTCATCTGAATGGCACAAATGCTCACCCACATCTTAGAAATAATGGGAATGTCTAAGCTGGTTGAGAAATCTGATGCAAACACTTCCAGTTGGGAGAAGAGAGAATTTCCCCTATGTCTCATGCTGACTCAGACAGGCCATCCTCTCCTGGGGACAGCTACAGGTTCGGAGCTATCAGTCCCCCTCACTTCTGAGTCTATACATATCTGATGGTTTTAGGTCAGCAGGGATCTATCTTAGGGTCTTTGGGTGGGTAGGGTGCCTGAAAACTGGCAGTAATCTTGGGAAAGTGAACCAATTGCTGCTCTTATTACATACACCCAGTTAGGACATCTTCGACGATAAATCTGACCACCCCATTTAATATTGGCTCTGTGAGATCATCCAGGAATCCCTCAGAACAGCAGCACATGCCCTGGGAAGGTGATTTATATTCCGGAAATTCTTGGAGCTACAAGTTCCTATGGGACTCTCCAGAAACTCGGCGTGAACACAGCCCATGTGCCCTGACACAAGCCATTACAGATTCAGGGCTTGTAGTGAATTGAGTGCAGTAAATGACAGCAGTGCTTCTCTGTCTGGCTTTGCTTTAACTTTCAGCCCTCCCTTGCTAGGGTTCCAGGGCTTTCTTCTGCAGTCACTGCCCAGACCCGAGCCAGGCTTACCTCCAGCCTCTGAATCCTCTCATTCTGCCCTCTCAGAAGGTTTTTTCTCTCTCTCTTTATCTCCTCTCTCATTTGGCCCATGGATTCCTGGAAAATTGTTTCTAGAGTCTCTAACTTTTGCTGCAGCATTTTACACCTTTTCTCAAGAAGCCGCTTTTCCTTCTCAGCTGTCTCTCTTTTGGCTTGCTCCTCTGCTCCAGGCAAGAAAACAACGGTTAAGCCTGAAAGCAACAACCCCCTGTCCCACAACCACCACTTTCTCAGACACCAAACTGTCTGGGAAGAGCAGACAGAAATGTCCAAATTTAACTCATGACCACACATCGAGGGCAGGTTTGAGAACAAGGTGGGAAAGGCCCTCTGACTGGCTGGCCGACGAACAACCACACCTTGTCTTATTATTTTCAGATTTAGCAGAGCATGCCTTCCACAGGAGAGGAAACTCCTTGCTTCGAGAAGATCTTCCTGTCAGAGGTCTCAGAGGGCCTGGCAGGAACCTCCCTCCCCATCATGCCCAGAGCCCTCCCCATACCTGCTAAGGCTTCTTGTGCCTCATGGAGAAGCTCATCTTTCTTCATGCAGCTTCCCTCTAGTTCCTTCTTCATCTGCACTAAACTCTGGGAACCACAAAGGGCAAAGACATATCAGGCAGGTCTAACCTGAACTTCCGTTGAAATATTCTGAGAAAAAAAACTGCCCTGATCAAATTCCCTAGTTGTTCCCCACCCCCCAGCCCAACCCCACCTACATGCATGTTCTAAGACCCTGCCTGTCTCACTATTCCTCCAGCCTCGTCTGCCAATTCTGCTTCCCTCCACTCATGCTAGGTTCCACCAGTCAGAAGAAAGTGCAGTTTTCCAGATGTGTAACCTCAGATTCTTTCATATTTTTCACATGCTGGGTTTTTTTTTTTTTCCTGCTTGTGACTCCTCCAGTAACATCCACCCTGGATAATATGTACAAATCTTTCAAACTGTATGTCACACTCCTCTTCCAGGAAGATTTCTTAGACCACCTTCCTCATGTGAAAGAAATCACTGTACATTTACATTTGTACATCTTTCTCAATTGTACATTTTCACTGCATGAAACTTATGATGTGTGAATTACTGTTCAATGAAACTTGAATTACTACCATCTCAGAAATACTCCTTCAAGACTATTGGTTAAGTTTCTGAACCCTCTGAGCCTTCCTTGTGAAATGCTGAGTTTGTATTATATAATCTCTATGGCTCTGTGAAGCTATGGCATCCTGTAATGCTATCTACAAGGCACGATTAACAGTCATACAACTCAAAGTAAAATAAAGGTAAAGAATGATCTGGTAACAATCTTCCCAGAGAACTTTGGATTGAATGGGTGAGAGTGCACAGAAAAAGCAGCCAGCTCAAAATAACTGAAGCATGTTTCAAGCCCACAGGGAAACTAGATGTTCCGTCAAGGAGGCCATCTGAGTGTCTGTACTGACTTTGCTTCAGAGATTAGACAGATTTCCAGATAAAGTGCCTGAGTTTGGAGGCGAAGGAGATAAAATAGAGTAATAGTATCCTTTTAACTCTCTTATTCAGAATAATCAGCATCCTTCTGCTGTGAATGTTAGCTAATCTATGGACAATCAGGTGCCCTTTAGGTAGAGGGGGTAACATGAAGAATCAACTATTAAGACTAAGTACCATGTACTTCTTCCATAACTCCTCGTCATTTTGGGGAGGCTGCTCCGTGGGGACTGCTCCATAGCCCAGGTCTGGTACTGCCACGACCATTTCTGTGGGAACCTCACTCTGTAGAGCCACTGAGTCCTCACACTAGGACACAGATATCACTGTGTTCTCCAGAGAAGGAACCGCTCCGCTGTTGAAGGCATCCACTAAGGTCACCAGAATCCCCAGCCCTGAATGAGGCAAGAAGTTTAGGGTATCAATGAGATTCAAAATTAGAAACTATAAATTCTAAAATGATTTTTTAAAGACGCTATGACGTTTGAAACTTTTTATAAATCCCATCTCCTCCTACTAAATAAGTGTTTTCCTCCTGATCACTGCACTTAAAATTTTTCAGTATCTATTCTCAGTTAACATGCTCTGACATCTTTTGGAAAAAGAATTTCCAAATGAGTAGACAACCACACAACTTAATAACAATCAATTACAAAATCAGCAGAGGAACTACACAGGCATATTTCCAAAGAAGACATCCAAATGGCCAACAGTAAATGAAAAGATCACTAATCATCGGGAAAATAAGAGATATCTTAAAACCAGAATGAGATGTCACCTCACACCTGTTAGAATGGCTAATAGTAAGAAGACAAGAGATAATCATTAGTGAGGATGTGGAAATGAGAGAACCTTTGTACACGGATGGTAGAAATGTACATTGTAAATTGGTTCAGCCACTATGGAAAACAGTATGGAGGTTCCATAAAATTAAAAAATAACTACCATGGGGCATCTGGGTGCCTCAGTCAGTTAAGCATCTGACTCTTGATTTCGGTTCAGGTCATGATCTCATGGTTTGTGAGATTGAACCCCTCACCTCCCCCTCCAGGTTCTGTGTGCTGTCAGTGCAGAGCCTGCTTGGGACTCTGTCTCTTCCTCCCTTTCCTCCCCTCACCTGCGCGCGCGCTCTCTCTCTCTCTCTCCCTCTCTCTCTCTCTCAAATTAAATAGAACTACCATATTATCCAGCAATCCCACTTAGGGGTATTTATCTAAAAGAATTGAAATCAGGATCTCAAGGAGATATATGCACTCTCATGTTATTGCAGCATAAGTGACAATAGCCAAGATATGGAAACCTAAATATCCATCAATAGATGAATGGATAAAGGAATTCTGTACATATATACAGTGGGATATTGTTCAGGCATGAGAAATAAGGAACTGTTGCTGTTTGTGACATGTATGGACCTCAAGGGTATTATAGTAAGTGAGATAAGTCAAATCCTCTATGACAGCACTTGTGTGTGGAATCTAAAAAACCTGAACTCATAAAGACAGTAGAAGGGTAATTACCAGGGGCTGGGAGTTGGGGGAAGTGGAGGTTTGTGGTTTACAAGGGTATAAACTTGCAACTAGTAAATAAATAAGTCCTAGAGATGCACAGCATAGTGATTATAGACAACAACACCAGATTATAAACTTCAAAGTTGCTAAGCACACACATACACACACATATGATAATTAAGTGACATGATAGAGATGTTAGTTAAGACTAATATGATTGTAATCATGTTGCAATATATAAATATATCAATTCAGCAAGTTTTATACCTTAAACTTATAAAATGTTATATGTCATTTATATCAATAAAAATAAAAATAAAGTAGATATGAGGTGAAGCAGGGTAAATGAGATTGTATATATTCCTACTAAAATTCTACCAACTTTGAGGAATTGTTGGAAATTTAGTTTTCTTGGGAATAATATATATATTATATATTATATATTATATATTTATTATATATTATATATTTTATATATTACATATTTTATATTTTATATATTATATATATTTAATCTCTGAGAAGAGCATTTCTCATACAGGTTGTCTCCTCAGATACAATGGAAAATTGCAAACCCAGAAGAGCTTCACAGTAAAATAAGACCACAAAGTCATTCTCTAGCCTCAGAGTTATCCGAAGCATGAATACATCAGCACTTCTGTACTTTTCCATGGCACAAAATGCGGGCTACCATTGGCCATCTGCAGAGTGCTGCCTGCATTATTCTCCAAATCTCTGATGAAGCTAGAGACAAAATCCTGGGTATCACCAGTCTCCGATGTGTTGCTCTCATTGATTCTAACAAGAACCTGCAAAGTAGGCTTATTCTACTCACTTTGCAAATGAGATCAGAAAGTCAAAGTAAGGTATTTGCCAAAAGCACATAGTGAATAAATGGTAGACCCATGACTAGAAGCCTGAAGGTCTGTTTTACTATTCTATGTTTGGCACCCAATTACCTGGCAAGATAATTTTCTTCAAAAACATTGGTTACCCATATGCCATGATTAATAACTTCTACGGGATTTCTGTTGACTCTCCTATCTTCACAATACCTGCTCTAAAGTATTATTGTGACCCGATGGGCTCCTCTTGTTTCTGCAGAGTCAGGATGACAGCCGCAAACCACTCAGCAGTTTCTAGACCTGGCTCTCTCCTGGCACAGCTCAGTGCTTCACCAAGGGCTCCAGTTCAGCTCAGGTTTATGAAAGATATCTTTTCATATTTTTATTCCTTGATATCTAGTCCCATTCACTGTGCCCCCCCCCCCTTTTTTTTTTACTTCAACTCATTGGTTGAACATCTATTATTTGCCACATGTTGTGCTTGTGTGCTTGGATTAAAAGATAAATAAGCTGCAGTCCCTGCCCTCAGAGTGATACTAAGATAACTATTAGGTTAGAATTAGGCTTAGCTGCGACAGTTAGGAAAGAAATGTGTCATAAGCAGTTTACGTTTATTTCTCCCTCATAAATTTCAGGGTTAGTAGTCTGGGGATGGTATGTAGTTGTGTTTCATAAGGATGGAAGCTTCAGATCCTATCATATGCTCAACCATCTGTAAGGGGCAGTCCCTGGTGTGCTGTCATTTGTATTCTAAGCAGAGAATACTAACTCTTTACCTTACTATGTAAAGTCTATGTAAACTAAATCGCTTCTTAGGTTATCCATATTCCCGTACACAACCACAAGAGAGGCTGGAATTGCCATCATTATTCTGGGAAACTATGTGCATGGCAAAGAAGCAGGAGTTCTATTAGTAGGGGAGAAAGGAAGAATGGTTACAAGGGGATAGTTAACACTACTTCCCAGTAACCATCTCAAACTAGGAAGATGACAGACAATGCAACAAGGATTATACTCTACTGTTGATCACAACTCTAATCATCTCCACTAAGGTCTAAGCTTGAGGAGAAAAGTGTCCTGACTATTCTGTTCTCTGCCCGGTCCCCATGTTGGACACATGGTAGACCGGTTAAACTGAAATAATCCTGAGGAGAGAGAGAGAGAGATGTGAGTGATAGGGGTTCATTGAATTACAAGTGGAGATGACTTAATTCAGTTTGGGAATAGAAAAGAAGAAAAGCCTCTGGGAACTATAAGGGGTAACAGCACTGGCAGACCATGGGGTTTCAGAGGCAACACAGACAGAGTGAGCCCTAGAAGAAGGGAGAGGTTAGCTATGTTAAATACCCAGAGAATTCACTGCAAGCATTAGCAGGATGGCCAGGGATGTCCTTACCAGAGTGACGGAATAGTAGCAAGAGGGAGAGGTAGGAAGGGCTGTGGGGGAATGAGATGTATCCAAAGAAAGAAAGTAGAATCATGTCTGGATCCCAAGATCTATGTGCCAAAGTATTTAGTGGTGAAGAGTCACAGCCTCTGTTACTTAGTGCTCCAAATAATAATCAGAATAAGAATGTTAATAGAAAAACTTACATATCTATTTAGAAAGAGAGCATGCAGATGTCACAAAATATCACCACAGGGGCAAATCCAAGTGAATGGTGTGTAAGAATTCATTGCAGTCTTAAACTTCCTCTGTAATTCAGATTTTTTTTAATGTGTAGATTTTAGACAAGAATATGTAACAGAGTTAAGTGGAAAATCTCAAACACAAGGTTTTACAGCTTACATATTTACATGTATCTATTGCATTCCTCTTCTGAGTTCTCATGTTTATGTCAGAAATTAGGGTTTTAAGCCCAAACCTAAAGTGCATGTAAAAGACAGTTTAGAAATGAACATACCTGAGCCATAGATTGCTGTTCTGTTCAAGAATGAGCATCCAGGTACCTCTTAACTCACCCTTGCTGTTTGCTTCTCCCACAGAAGCTGAAAACAAACTGAGGTTGTTAAGAAAGGAAATGAGCATAAAGCTGAACCTGAAAGTAAAAGCACTTCATGCTATTTTTAATTATTTGGGGAAAACCTGCTGGAACCCAGACGCCAGAGCCAGAGAAGGTATGAGGGTGAAGCAAGTGAGAGCAGCCCAATGACTCTGCAGTTAGGCCCTAGGAAATTGCACCAGACCAGCTTTATTTTCTCCCCAGCTCGCCTGTCCACAAAGGGACTGCTGCCTGAGACCAAGGGCACAGAGCTGCTGGCTCCAGGGGCCGCAAGCAGACTAGGTTTGGCAGCTGGCCATTGACAAAACCCAAAGGCAGAGAGAGGAGTGGTGGCGAGTCAGGAAAGGAATTTGTTTCAGGGAGGCTGACACTGGGAAGACAGTGGACTTGTGTCCCAAAGGCTGTCCCCAAAGTGCCAAAAAATATTTCCAGGTTCATATAAGGAAAATGTGGGACAAAGTGGTAGGTAGGTGCAACTGGGCAGCAAAGGTCAGGTGGATCATTGTCTTGGGGTCAATCACCCAGGGTCTTGCTGGTCTTAAGAGAACTTAATCAGTTAGAAAGTACAGACTGAAGTCAAAATGTGGGTAGTTTGAGTCCTCCCTAGACTCAATCCTTTTCCAGGACTACGATGTCTGTAGGTGCGCATTCTGTTGTACTTTTATGTCTTGGAATTCATGGAGCTTCTTGAATGAGTCGATTAATGTTTTTCAGAAATTATGCATGTTTCTGGTTATTATTCCTTCATATATTTTTTCTAACACTTTCTACCTTTTATCTATTGAGGAGACTTCCATTCTGCCTATATTTGCATGCCTGGTGATGCCTCACAGTCTCTGAGGCTCTATTATTCTTAATTCCTTTTTCTTTTCTGTTCCTCGAAATGGGTTCTCTCTGTTGATTTATCTTCAGTTCACAGATCTTCCCTTTGCCAGATCAAATCTAGTTTTTGAGCCACTGTAGTATATTTTGTATTCCAGTTCTTATACTATTCCACTGTGGAATTTCTATTACATTATTTTGGTTAACTTCTTCTTGTTATTAGTATTTTCTTTTTTTTTTTAATTTTTTTAACCTTTATTTATTTTTGAGACAGAGAGAGACAGAGCATGAATGGGGGAGGGTCAGAGAGAGGGAGACACAGAATCCGAAACAGGCTCCAGGCTCTGAGCTGTCAGCACAGAGCCCGACGCGGGGCTCGAACTCACGGACTGCGAGATCACGACCTGAGCCAAAGTCGGATGCTTAACCGACTGAGCCAC